CCCCAAAACCCCAAAACCCCAAAACCCCAAAACCCCAAAACCCCGAAGAGATAGAGTAAGATTGAAAGTTCCAGAAAACTAATTAAATTAAGCATTACTTAGACTCGTTCAGTTGGTCTAGTATTTTCATTTTTGCTTTTATTGAATGAATCAGCATATCATTGACCTTAAGAGGCTCTGTTGGGTTCGAGCTATAACAGTTATTATACTACTTACGAATGTAATTTCTTATTTTGATAGATAATCATTTCCTTTTTCTTTGCTCTATCTTCCAACTCCTGAGCTTGTATCATAACTCTCTTAAGGTTTTCCCTATTGCTAGCCTTCTTAATTTCATGATCCCAATTGTAGTATGCTTTATATGAAGAATTGAGGGATCTTTGCTCACTGTTACACTTTTTATTCTTCCTATTTTTCCCTCATCTCTTTCAGGAAGTCAATGTTTTTATTAATAGCTATTTTCTTCTTTTTATTAAAGTCATCCTCTGTTTTCTTCTTTAGGTTATCAGAGACATTCCGGCTCTTCTTGAGCTTAAGCACAGGCATCTTGATTGGAACTTTCGGAGGCTTAGTTCACTGCTTATCTTTGTTACTGTTCCAAGGTGGCAGGACTAGGGTCTTGCACTGTTTCTCACTCTTAGACTTGTCTTTCTTTATTTTCTTATTCAGCTCTGTCATTGATATCACTCTATAATAACAGGTGAGCTCTGGAGGAGTTCTCGAAAGAGTCAAGGCAAAGGAATTACCTATCTACTTTATAAATTTTAAACCCCTTGATCTGCTTCTCCTGAACCGGCTTAGGTTTTTCTGTAAAATTAGTCTGAGACTTTACTTTTTGGGATTTTCATGACTACATTCTTGGAGGTCTTCAGAGATGGAGTCCTATTAACATATCAGGATTTAGCAGAGAAAGTGCCTTACATCGTTGGACTACTCTTGATAGGTTCTTGATGCAGAAAAGCTGGCCGAGGAACTTTTATAGAAGGGTATTTCTTTTTGTAATCACGCTGTTGCGTCAATTCTTTCTGAAACTTCTGTAGTAACTTCTTATGCTCCTCTTGATGAGACTTTAGAGAAGCCAAACTTGGTTGACGGTTTTTGAATTTCTTATATTCTTGTAACTTCTGTTGCTTCTCATGAATTTCAGGGAGGATGACATTTTTCTCAAAATCCTCCTCAATCTTTTTGTACAAAGGAGTCTTGACAGAATTAGTTCTTTTTTTGAGACGTCTATGGGTCAGAATAATCAGCTTACTCTATTTTAAGATATTCTTGGTATTTTTCCTTTTCATGCTTCCTCTTAATTATTCTGTTTTGTATGTGCTCAATTTTGTGTCGATTATCATACTTGATTCTCTCCTCTTCTATTTTATTCTGAAGTTCTTCAAGCTCTTCTTTCTTGATTTTCTCCTCAAGCTGTAATCTTTTGAGCTCGAGACGTGCTCTCCGGTTTTTACTCTCTTTCTTGAGGGAGAGAATCCGGACCTTGGCTGCCATGAAGTCCTCTTTGGAAAGTAATTTGGACTCTACCTTTGGGTCAAAGTAGTAGAAGCTCTGCGGCTTGCTCTCCTTCTTCTCCGTGTTTCTGGATTTCTTTTTCACTAAGATTTTCTTGGATGGAGTAGAAAAGAGAGGCTCTCCAGGGCTCTTGACAGACTCTCGTTGACTGACTGACTCTGTTGAGACTGGCAAGGAACTTATACTATCTTGACTCATAACTTCCTCTAGCTTAGGGTCACTAATTCTCACATTTTTAGGTATCTTCCAAGTCTTATATTTTATATATTTATTTCTCTTCGGTGAATTGTGTGTCAAGAGTATGTTTCGTGGTCTTCATCTTGGCAAATTGTGTCATGAAACTTTTCAAAGTTTCTATATTCAAATTAACCCCTGGCTTAAATCATCCACATACTTTTAAGGTTATCTTCAGACTTCTGGTAAGGTGATGCATTTTGGTTTGATTTATCTTGCTTTGCGATTATGTCAAAAATTGGAATATCCTTGTCTAATAAAAATTATTTTCATAAACCGCTAGGAAAGTTAATACCTTGGAAACTTTTTCGATGCTTGACCTCTTCATTTCTGATCAAAGGAGCAAAATGGATTTTCTCCATTCAGAGAGCAGTACTACTCCTAGAGTGATTATTATGGGCTAGAGTATGATATAACTTCCTTACGAGTGTAGACTGGGATGGCAGGGCCCCCATTATCATTATTCAACATGATGCTGTATCCAACGTAGTCCTCCTCATTCTGCTTCAAATTGTCCTGTGGCTTTTCATCTGGGCCGTTGTTGCAAATTTTGTCTTTATCATTCACGGTGTTATCAAAACTTCTAGGAAGTTTGGACTCCAATTGTTTATCGTCCTTTGTAAATTTTTGGACGATTTCACCCCTTTGCTGGTTTTTCTCTATAATTAAATTGTTTAAGCAGAAACATTAGCTGTTAATAGCAATAAAAATATGAGAATCTTCTAATTTTTAAGGCATTTTACCATTCTTGGTCATATTTTGAATACATTGATATTAACTGAATGCATAATTATTTTACAACTTGTTTAAATTAGAGGATATTAGAAATAATCAAGATTTTATGTCTTAAAAATTCCCAAAAGACCATCCTTGTTTAGACTATTGAACTTTATATTTGCTTACTTGAATCACTCGACATCTTTAGGTAATTAATTACAATAGAAGGTTGATGCTAGGGGTTTTGGGGTTTTGGGGTTTTGGGGTTTTGGGG